GGTGCGCCTCTGGCGTTACCTGTGGTGCGCCTCTGGTGTTACCTGTGGTGCGCCTCTGGTGTTACCTGTGGTGCGCCTCTGGCGTTACCTGTGGTGCGCCTCTGGTGTTACCTGTGGTGCGCCTCTGGTGTTACCTGTGGTGCGCCTCTGGTGTTACCTGTGGTGCGCCTCTGGTGTTACCTGTGGTGCGCCTCTGGCGTTACCTGTGGTGCGCCTCTGGCGTTACCTGTGGTGCGCCTCTGGTGTTACCTGTGGTGCGCCTCTGGTGTTACCTGTGGTGCGCCTCTGGCGTTACCTGTGGTGCGCCTCTGGTGTTACCTGTGGTGCGCCTCTGGTGTTACCTGTGGTGTGCCTCTGGCGTTACCTGTGGTGCGCCTCTGGCGTTACCTGTGGTGCGCCTCTGGCGTTACCTGAAGTGTTACCCGAGTACGGTTGTGTAAGCACATCATCTCAGTAGTTAAAGCTACGGGCTACATCTCTCCTGGTCTGTCGTTCAAGCCCCTTATGACACGAGTTGATGAAATTAAATATACAAAAGATATTCTAAACCCAGCTATTGCAAGCCTGATTGCTATTTAGAGGCATATGCCGCCCATCTATTTTGCAGACAATGCTTTTAAGTATTTGAAGAACAGACTTGGAATCACAGGAAATGACTCCTCATCTGTGTTTTTTTTTAGTTAACTGGTAACTAGTTAGAGGGCAGCTAGTTCAGATACTTTTTTTGTCGTTTATAAACACATTTATTATGACCCAGTTCCTGCTCGCCTGGAGGGATCAGGATTGGGAGATTCGCCACTTGCCACAGGTAACAGGGGACGGGATATCCCTGGAGTGTCCCGCCAGGGACATACTCCACGGATACACAAAGCCACATTTCAATATCTGGCAAATCTTTTAATAATGGCGATGATAATAATTGTGTTGGGGGACAGGTAGCCAATGTATATGCACCCGCCAAACCCCCCATTTATGAATGAAAAACGGTTTACACACGACTCACAACTGATGACGTTCGAACACTTCCTGAACAAGTGCTTCGCTGACGAATTTTCTTCGAACCACAACGCTGTAAATGCTTCACCCACGTACTGCAAATACAAATAACTGCCAACAGAACCTAAACACCTAACCTAACCTATGCCAATATATGCACAATATGCTAATATCATAATATTAATTCATATTTGATAAAATTCCTGTTTTGAATGAACAGCATGTTAAATTTATGAATGAGTCTGTGGGGTCGACCACTGAATATAATGGACTTGAGTCGAGGACGGGTTGACCGTGTCACACCCCATCACATGCAATACTTTACACATGCATACATGTCGTAGCTAACACCCAGTGTTGCGTAACGGCCCAGTTAGCCGTACACTGATGCGCAGAGCCGTGATACGTCTCACATTCCAAGAGGTTGACTTCGTGCGTCGGCGATGCGCCCTCCACCTGCTCTATGGTCATCACCGGCACCTCATATATACAGAGAGGTTTAACCCCATTTCTCGATGTACATGCATTGTTTACTTAAGTACTAGATTAAGCTCAGGACAAACATCTACGGCCAGCAGGTTGTAAAATATCTTTTCGCTCCTTGTAAGAGTAAGTTTCAGTAAACTAATCAATTATAAACTCATACTGATGGTTAAATGAGTATAGACATTTATCCGACTTCAATGACCTTGTTATGGTACTCTAGAAATTACCAATCGACCAATGACTAGAAGTCTGTCATACCTGCGCCTGGTGGCATCTCACTCCTTGAATGGCATGTTTACCAGAAATGGAGGGAGGAGTAGTTGGCCACATTAAAGGTGACCTTGTGGGACAATGAGAGGGGAGGAAGGGCCGCGAACACCGCACCACTACCACAGCAAGCAACACCATTACTTCCCCTCCCTACCTCCCAACCACTTGGGCTGGACGGTAGAGCGACGGTCTCGCTTTATGCAGGTCGGCGTTCAATCCCCGACCGTTCAAGTGGTTGGGCACCATTCCTTCCCCTCGCCCCATCCCAAATCCTTATCCTAACCCCCCTTCCCAGTGCTATATAGTTGTATTGGCTTGGCTCTTTCCCCCTGATAGTTCCCCCTCCCCACCACGAGGGAGATGAAACTTAGAGAGAAACATTTGTCGACACTAAAGACAAACACTTCCTATGGCAGCAACTGACAAGATAAACCGGTGATCTATTAGCTACCTTAAACCCTAGTGTTTACCCAACATGAAGAACATGTAGAGAACTTAAACTATTAGGTACCGCTAGCAACCAGTGACCACTGCGTTATCGTGTTTGATTACAATTTTGAACTGAAAGATAGAATTGGAAACATAACAAGGAGCAAGAGAAAATGCATAAGAGGGGATACAGAAGGGTTAGAGAGTATCTTTAGGAGGTTCAAGTGGGAGACTGAAAGGAAGGAAAGCTCGGCAAATGAGATGATGAAACTCATGAAATAGAAATGCAAAAAAGCAACCAAACAGCTCATACCTATCAGGAGGAAAATAGACGGAAGGAGAGCAGCAAACCCATGGTACAACAGTGTAAGGAGGAAAAGAAGACAGCAAAGCCATGGAAAAAGTAGAGGGACATGGGTACAGAGGCAAATAAGGAGGCACTTAAGAAGGCCAGGAATGAGTACACAAGAATCAGGAGGGCAATAGAGCGGCAGTTTGAGAATGACATTACGGCAAAAACAGATTTAACCTAAGATGTTGTACAGCCTTACAGGTGAGAAACAACAGTACGAGACAATGTGATTAGAGTGCGAGGACTGGGAAGGAACACTTGTAGAATGACAAAGAAGTTTGTGAAGAACTCAACAAAAGTTTCCAGGAGGTCTTCAAGCCTGCTGGAATTCAATCCAAGTAAGTGCAAAGTAATACAAATGGATAAGGAAGATAGGAGACCTGTATTTAACTATACCATAAGGGAAAAGCAACTACAAAAACCAATAAGAGAAAAAGACCTGGATGTAGGCATACTCCAACACTAAGACCAGAAGCTCATGTGAACGACATAACATCAACAGCATATGAGGAGTTATCGTCGGGAATATGCGAGATGTTGGTAAATATCAGAACATTGATTAGAAACACTGATCAGGACTCCTTCAAGGCAATCTACACTACATTTGTTAGACTTACAGGAATGTGCAGCACTGGCATGGAGTCAGCACCTTGTGCAGCACTGGCATGGAGTCAGCACCTTGTGCAGCACTGGCATGGAGTCAGCACCTTGTGCAGCACTGGCATGGAGTCAGCACCTTGTGCAGCACTGGCATGGAGTCAGCACCTTGTGCAGCACTGGCATGGAGTCAGCACCTTGTGCAGCATAGAGACAAAATTGGAAAAGTAGAAAGGTTTGCAATAAAATTGCACTAACTGCAAGAACAGTACTACATGAAAACAACAAACAACAATCACAAAAGTATGTCATAAACAGTAACTATACTGCACGATATTTATTATAAACTGTTATGACTCTTCCCCCAGGATTTGTTGATACTTTCTAAAAATCCTAAAAATTTTCATCCATAAATCCTTATTTTAAAAACCGAAGCTATGTACTGTATTTCACACAGAATTATGCAACTATTTAGTACATTTACTAGATACAATATGTGCCTTTTTATGTATCATAGATTAAGTTATTTTGTGCCATCAAATAACACTCAAATTATTTTCACTCTCTCCCTTCCCCATTCCTCCATATTTCCTCTTAATTCATAATCAAGCTTCCCATCCACTGTATTCTGGTGCTCTTTTTATAAATCATATATGATAAACATGAAGGTAAATCTCCAGGTAGCCATCACAAACCTTGACAAGAAGGCCTTTTTAACAATATGCAACTGTGCCTTTGAAAACCACACTGGGAAAACACCGCAACAAAATATCCAGAGATGTAAAAAGGCTTGTTGTGGAACATATTTATACAACAGTAAAACACTAGAGGAGGGGGCAGAACCCTACCATGCTGGAGCCAAGAAAAATCAAGGCGATATAATATAGTACATATGTAATTATTTTAAATACTGAACAATTTGGAGAATCCAGACAACATCTTCAAAAGGTCAGAGTAAAAATTATCAGAGATAACACAAACAAGGAGCAACGGTTTCAGGTACTGTACTACAAGCCACAATGTAGGACTGAAAACAGATGATTTTTTCCCCACAGGTTAATAAATCCGTAGAACTGCCTACCTGCTGAAGCCATAACTGTCAAAACTGTTGACATTTAAAATCCTTCTTGAAAAAATCTTCAGGACAAATGGGGAGACCTGTAACAAGCCGCTGACTTCCTGTCCTCGTCAAGGCCACTAGAGGATTAGTGGCCGCAGGTAAATTATAGGGATTGACAAAAGTTGACAAAGATGTTATGTTACAAATGTGAAACAGTTGAACTAAAGGACAGGGGATAGAAAATAGATACACAAATGAGACTGAAAATGTTCAGAAGAACTTCCTTAGCATAAAAATATTACGAGGTGGAATGCGTTACAAGATACTACAGAGGCAAATTCAATACACAGTTTCAAAAGAAAATACGACAAAGAACATTAGTAAAAGGGAATCATTGCATTAATTAACCTGTGTGTGAAAAGGCAGGACTTTGAAGATGATAATCCTTCCTGCAACTTCATCCGAGTAAAGACATCTACTCAAGTCCCACCCACTAAGACATTCAGCTTGTACTCAAGATAAAGTGAACAGAAATTACACCAGCACACAAATTACAGCAGCTGGGAGACAATAACAGGCAGTTAAATCACACTATGAAACACTTACTAGTGCTGCTGAAGGTCATGTCAGCTGGGGCACCGTCCAAGGTTCACTTCCTGACTCAAGTCCAAGTGTTACGAGTGATTTAGTGTGAGAAAAGTCATATTGTTGAGCGAGCTACACACACCTCCTGCACCACGTCTGGGGCACTACTGAATTTGCAGCAGAGGCGGCCGCAGCCTCCCGAGGAGAGTTGTAATTGGTGGAAAGCCGCCGCTGCCGCCCAGTTCAGCCAATGAGAACTTGAGTCTCGAGACGCTCACGTCAGCCTTCCAGTCAGCTGATAACTGTAAACAAACAAGAGGAGACATTTAAATATAGTGACGTTGAAGGAGAAGATTGGTGTTGTAGGTTTAACTTTGTTCAACAGTAAACTGACCGAACAAGTTTATTTATATCTTATATAATCTATAAAGTATATTTATATCTTTTACAATCTGCTTTATCAATAATATGCGTTTGTGTTTTTCATATTAGATAGTAGTTGATGGTTGAGGGGCGAGGATGCTCCAGGAGGGCATAGCCATCAGTATTATTATTATTATTATTATTATTATTATTATTATTATTATTATTATTATGTGCATCTCCTGGTGAGATGTCAAATTTATAAGCCATTTTATAATTTAACTTTTCTAAATCAAATCTCTGCTATTTGACATCTGTAGTTCAAATCGTACATCAAAACGTCGTCATTAATAATATATACAAAGAAAAATGCTGTACACGCACTTATATAATTAATATCAAGATATCTCTGAAGGCAACTAGAGTGTCACAGTGACTTGACATACCTCGGCCAGACTCTCAGCGCCCCCACACACCCAGGAGCTCATTAGTACATACAGTACATACAATAAGTACAGGTTATAATGTATGAGCAAGTTATGAAGTCAATTTATTTTTAACAAAGCCATGTTATGTTGATTTGACGAAATATTGCACTGAAATAGTGAAGGTTTTCCATTGCTTGGGATTCTCTCCACAAGTTTTGCAGATATTTACCAGATTTACCTGAGGGTCACTAACCCTAGAGGTCTTGACGAGGACAGGAAGCCAGCGGATTGTCGGGGTATATTATAATAAATAATTCATTGTGTTGGGGGACAGGAAGCCAGTTTTGTATTCATACACGTTTTGGTTTTTATCGAGGTCCCCTCCACCGAGGCCACATTACTAACCCCGCCTAGGATTCAACCCCACAATAAACTGACTAACTCCTGAGTATCAACTCACTGCTAGGTGAACAGAGGAATTTGGTGAAAGGAAATGTGCCCAACCATTTCTGTCCCGCACGGGATTCGAATCTGGAATTTTCGATCGTGCGTCGAGAACGAACCCGACTGCACTACCGGTACCCTTAATATATGTAAGGTATTGGTTCATAGGTTTTCTCCTGTGCTCTTTCAGTCCTTTTTGAAGATGGGATGATATTTACAGCGGTTTTTATCGGGGGAAAGCGCTAAGTCATTACGACTATATAGCACTTGGAAGGGGAGTTAGGATAAGGATTTTGGGATGGGATGGGGATGTGGGAACGGAAGTGTCCAACCACTTGGACGGTCGGGGATTGAACGCCAACCTACATGAAGCGAGACCATCGCTCTACCGTCCAGCCCAAGTGGTCGGACAGGAATGATATTTACAGTCTAAGGGTTCTTTCCCCCCTTGATCCAGAGATTTTTTCTGAATAGGAGTTTCTGTGGTAGAAAGAGTTTACCTAGCCAGAAACTGGCCAGTTTCTGTATGCTTTCGAATTGAATTCCATCTGCACCTGATGCTTTAGATTCTTTTAATTTAGCAATGCTCTTCTTGATTGTTTCACACTATACGGCAGTATCCCATAATTCAGTATGTTTACCTGCTTCAAACATTTGTGTGGGAAATTTTTATGTTATGTAATCTTTTTAACATGAACACACTATATCTATCTAACTCTCTCTCTCTCTCTGTATGTATGTATGTATGTATGTATGTATGTATGTATGTATGTATGTATGTATGTATGTATGTATGTATATATATATATATATATATATATATATATATATATATATATATATATATATATATATATATATATATATATATATATATATATATTTTATTATATATATAATAAAATATTTTGTTATTGGTTTTGTTTATAGATAAGTCTGGTTTATAGACATTTGATTTTTAAAAATGTAGTAAGTACTGTACTGTATATGTACAGTATCCATGTTCTTGTTTTGTGTCTCTTGAGATTTTTTACTTGTCTGATGCTATCACCTACAAAAATTACATTACAGGAAGATATACAAGATGTTCCACACAATTTGCAAGTCAAATATTGTGCAGTATGGAAGGCATTACCAACAGGCTAAGGTTCTCAGGTGAGATGACTTTTGTGATACATATGTTTAATAACATAATATAATGAGTTGTATTTTAGATGAACTTGTATAATATTGGATACAGTTATTTTGATTTCACAAACAATTCCTGTATTATATGGTGAAAAAAAAAGAATAAAATAATATACTGTATATGTTATTGCCATAGTGATATTGAGTAAATAATTTTACCTGCTACATTGCAAGCCGGCCAGACATCAAATACTTATAAAAAAAAATCTATATTTGTACAGCTATTTGTCCTTCCTGCCAACCCACTCGGAAAGATGCCATTTGTACAGTTCAAACCTGATTTATTTTTGTGTTATTTGTTTTTAATTTTTACATGTAAATGTTTGCAAATTATTACTCTTTAGTTTCTTAAAAAAGGAAAAAGGATTGCAAAATAATTTATATTACCATAACGATTTTGAAACATAATTTTGCCTGTTGAGCAGCAAGCCAGATAATTTTATTATGTATAAGCATTTTATGATTTGCAGAGCTTTTTATTAAGAGGAGGGATCTTGGGGAGAAAGTTGGAGAGAGAGGGGGGGGATAGGAAAAGAGAGATGAGAGGTGGAGATTAGGAGCAAAATTCATTTATAGTAAAAGTTTACGAGTTTAATGATGCATTTTACATAATCAGAACATATGTAGCTTTTTGTGTGTTGTGTCCTCTGAATGTGAGATTGTTATTCTTTCAACTTTTCTCTTTTTAAAAATTATTTTGAATTAAGACTTTTATATATTAGTTACATACCATGTTTTCTTTTTATTTACAGGACTGCAGGCTCTCATATCTTGGGAAGTTGCCATATTCACCAAGAATATTCCTTTAAGACAAGCACTGAAAATTTCATTCACAAGTTAGACAATGCTCATATAAATAATTCTGAGAGCAAATATGAAAGAGGAAAATATCATAGACATAGAGTAAATTATAGGAATCAATTAGGCATACTAGCTGGAATCATGGGAACAGCTGCAATCCTTGGCATAGATTCAGCTCTGTGTGAAAACCAAGAAGAAAATGCACATGATGAAATTATATCACTTAAGTCAACAGTCACATCCACAATCAGTAATATTTCATCTGGAGAATCTTTAACAAATCAAGATGCTGATCAGAAAGGTCAGGATGTAGTTGGTACAGAAAAACATTCTGCTGAAACCCAAGCATTCCCTCATGGGAACATAACTTATGCTCGTAATACTGAAACAGCAAGTACATTAGCAACACATGATATTTCTCAGAAAGAAAATTTGACTGATTTTCAAGAGACCGTGAAGAAGTCTCGTCAGCTGTTGAAGCGTTGCATGGAGGAGGCTGGAACACCAGGCATTGTTGTGGCAGTATCAGTGAATGGCAAGACAGTTTGGGCAGATGGTATGCAATGTTAATTTTTTTATATTTACCTGTATTCTTTGATAACTTGTTATCTGGAACTCCCCATCCTTGAAAAAGTGACCAAGTATAGTCTTTCCTATGACTTCAGCCTCCTTCAGGTGTTTAGCTAGGCTGGAAGGAGAACTGGAAGACATGATATTATATAGGAGATGGTAACTACTTGTAATCATGTAGTTGCTGGTGCCATTCCTATCTTGGTTTAGCCTGTTTAATACATATAAAAGGTAAAGGAGAAGGGATGAGGATTTTCAGGGGGGCACATTTGAAGTTGTTGTTCATGTTTTGCCTTCTAAGTATAGAATGGCAACCCACATTTTGAGGTGGAGATGAACCAATACACTGACAGTACTACCATCTTGAAGCAGTGTATCATACAACACACGGATGTCAATGTTGTCATACTCAGGCAATGGTTTCTCAGTCTATGATAAATTCCCTACACTTCTTTACATTATCAAATATATGTTTCATTTACAACACCAGCAATTATGATGTCAATCTTAACCTTAGTAAGGCCTTCGACACACTGCCCAATGAGAGCAAGATCCGGCAGGTTGAGGCCCATGGCATTAGAGGAATGTTTCGAATTGCAACAGAACCTGGTTGAAGGATAGGAAAGAGTTAGTATCAACAAGGTGAAGTCTAGTGGAGAAATGTTGTTGGTAGTGTGACCCTGGGGCCCTGTTTTGGGAACATTATTGTACATAGTACCTGTATATGTTAATTATCTGGAGCTTGGGGTGAACAGTAATATCAGTAAATTTGCAGATGATACAAAATTGGGGCAAATAGTAAACTAGGATGAAGACTTGGCAGAACTCCTGAAAGATCTCATTACTCTGTAAAACTGGACAAAAAGTGACATAGGCAGTTCATTGCAGATAATTGTAACGTTCAAAATATGGGAAATGATAATAGCACCATCAATTAAATGAATGATGTAGATATTGGCAAATCAGGTTACGAAAAGAGATTTGGGGTCATGATTAAGGCCTAGCCAGCAAAAACCCAACATGCATAACAAAACAAATAGGATACTTGGATTTATAATCAGAACTGTTAGTAATAAATGGACAGACATTTTATAAGGTAATAATAGCCAGAGAGATGACAAAATTTGATAATTACAGTATAGGGATTTATAAAACCCAATTTCCTTACAACAATCATTTGTCAACAACATATGAACATCTTGTGAGCCTGTACTCCATTTTTTACAACACTGATAATTAGTTTGGCTCAGATTGGTTCTCTTATGAAAAATAATGAATAATTAGATAATGACATGTAATCTTATTATTTAAGACTAAATTTTCTCAGCAAGACATTCTTTTCTAATCACTGAAATGTAGAGAGTCAGAAAACTTAAATCATTACTATTTTTCATCCAGGATTTGGGTTTGCTGACCTAGAAAACAATGTTCGGTGTACGTCCAACACTGTCATGCGCATTGCCAGCATCAGCAAAGCATTAACTATGACAGCTGTTGCTAGGCTGTGGGAGGAAGGAAAGTTGGATCTTGATGCTCCTATTCAGAAATACATCCCAAGTTTCCCTGTTAAAACCTACCATGGGGAAGAGGTAAGGAACAAGTAATTGTATTAATATAAAATAAATGTTTAAATTTAATACATGTGGACAAATTGCAATGTTACCAAATTCTTGGTATCATTGAACTAAGAATTAATTTTTTCAGAATTATTGTTAAGAATAATCAACCCGTCCTTGACTCAAGTCCATTACATCCAGCGGTCAACCCCACAGACGCATTCATAAATTTTTACATGCTGTTCATTCTAAACGGAAATTTTCTCAAATATAAATTAATATTATAATAGCATATTGTGCATATATAGGCATAGGTTAGGTGCTTAGATTCTGTTGGCGATTATTTGTACTTGTAGTACGTGGGTGAAGCATTTACAACGTTGTGGTTCGAACAAAAGTCGTCAGTGAAGCACTTGTTCCGGAAGTGTTTGAACGAAATCAGTTGTGAGTTATGTGTAAACCATTTTTCATTCATAAACAGGGGGTTTGGCAGGTGCATGGAATCACTTTTGGGTCTTTGTTTGCAGGACGGGCTGGAATAATGGTTTGAATTTCTGAGCTGTGGCTACTCAGTTGAATTCTTTGTCTTTGTCTTCTTTGTTCAGGGGTACAGTAGCTTGGCGGTTTATTCTTGAGATGCCAGTTACTTGCTTGTGTATGATGGAACTAACTTGGCACTGGGAGTGGTGTGTCATTGACTAAGAATCTGGACTGGGTCAAGTACAAGAGCGCACAAACTTTATTTGACACTCATAAAAAGGTGGCACTCCTGGCACTGCATTGATTCAGTAGATACCATGTGATGTTTTCAAAAGCATGAAACCACTTGAGTCAATTACAAACATTGCCTGTAGATATAGTAAGTTTCTCACTAGGCTGTATGGCACATGCATAAGCGTAATGTAAGTGGTAGCACAGCTGACTTGACTTTTGGATGACCACCAGTCACCAGTTTCATGAATAAGTGACGGTACACTTTTAAAAGTCCATGGCCCCTAGCGCTAGTCAGGATTAAATTATCTCTCATTTATAATTACTATATGGGGTTATATCATGCCTGTAATGGCCTAACGTAAAATCTTACAATTACCGAAAGGTACCTATCAGCATTAAGTAGGCAAAAGAAGTCAGTCATCAGTATAAGGGTTGATTATGCAATTGTTGACTACTGTGCACAATTCCAAATTATTTCACTCCCATAAGTGAACCACTCTTATTCTAAATGTGAGTTACTTTTTACTTAGTTAAATGTTTACAGTACAGTACAGTACACACCACCTGGAGATTCTCTCAAAGATATGAATCTCTGCTTCATTATATAGTCCATGTGACATGCTTTATGTTGGTTTTTATATAACAATTTCATTGTCATAGTATACTTCCAGTATGATCTTTAATGTTACAGTATTAACAATAGACTTTTCAGTTTAACAAAACAAAGCTTCAAGGAATGTATTATTATGTAGTATCAAGTATTATTTGTATAAAAACATTCCTTTCTAGGAATTTAAAAAAGATATTGCACAATTTGACTGAGAGCAAATATTCTTTGGGGATTTATCTATTCAAAGAAATTTTGTCCCCTTATGGTTTCCCAATGTCAGGAACATGAAGCTGTTAGGCTTATTGAGGTCCCCATAGACCAGCTACTGATCTTTTCCAGTATGCAACCCACAACAGTTATCTTGAGATGATTTCGGGTCTTTTTAGTGTCCCCGCAGCCCGGTCCTCGACCAGGCCTCCACCCCCAGGAAGCAGCCCGTGACAGCTGACTAACACCCAGGTACCTATTTTACTGCTAGGTAACAGGGGCATAGGGTGAAAGAAACTCTGCCCATTGTTTCTCGCCGGCACCTGGGATCGAACCCAGGACCACAGGATCACAAGTCCAGCGTGCTGTCCGCTCGGCCAACTGGCTCCCTTAGATTCTGCCTGATTCCCTGATTCCCAGTTGCCTGATTCCCGGGTATTTATTGCTAGATGAACAGGTGGCATCAGATGAAAGGAAACATTATCTAAATACTTGTGTCCTACTGTGAGAATCGAATCCAAAACCATCTGGTTATGACCCGACTGCAATTGCTACTGCTTCATAGGAGAGTAAATTCATTTTGTTTTGTTGATGGCTTCTTCTGAGTCACTGTGCTGTATAGCAATTGATGCATTTAGAATACAGCTACAATAGATTAAAAATTGTACTGAATTCTTATCATTTACAGGTAACTATAACAACCAGGCATCTTATCAGCCACAAGTCAGGAATTCGGAATTATAAACGGAAAGATGCCAATAAGAAGGAAAGAGGAGAGGTGAAGGAGGAGATGACTACTGTATCAAAAGAAGACAGTAAGAAACATAAAGAAAAACAATCAAATAAAGCAAATGAAAAAAATGAAAAATCTATAAACTCTGAAAAGGAAAGCAGTGAAAAGAAATCCATAAATGACAAGCAAAATGAAAATGAAGAAAGTGGCATTATCGCTAAAGAGAAGCCAAAGGGGCGAAATAAGAAATTTAAAGGAAAATGCGGCAAAACAAAAAAGTCTAAAAAACAGGAAGAGGAGGATGAATTTGCCATGCAAGAATATTACATTAAGGAAGAATTTAATACTGTTCAGGAATCACTTGAGCTCTTTCAGAATGATGAGCTGTACTTTAAGCCTGGTGAGTACAAAATATTTATAACAAGTAAGTATGTGATGAAGTCGAGTTGAATATGAAAAGTGCAGGAGAAATGGCTGCAAAAATAGCTGTGTGGCAGCAGTTTGTAAAGAGATTCATTCTTGATCTGGTTGTATATAAAAAGAAATAAGAATCAATATACACCAAGCTAGTCTTATAAAATAGCTGGGTGGTACTGATGTGGATGATTTGCTGGAGTGTGGTCATGCTGCTTCTCTATGATACTGTGTTGTGTGAATGATACAGTGAATGGATGGGTGTAATTTCTGAGCAAGGTCAACTTCACCTCCTGAGGCAGGACCAGGGTCAACCTAGTTCACTGCTCAAACACCCGGCTCTCGTTAGCCTGTGCCTTTCGTGTGACTACTTAGGTTCTTTGGTGGGCTTGATTCCAAGCTCCTCCTGTGGTTTCCCTGGGTCCTTTGCACCCATGTATCATGCTACTCTGTGTCTACATCCAGAAGATGTTAGGCAGAGGCACGATCTTTGAGACTTCATCCTGGCATATCATCTGTTTTCATTGGCAAAAATTCACACTCCCAAGCCCTAGTTGACCCTCGATTTATTGAAGGTAAATGGCCACGTCTTCTCTCCTCACTGCTATGTCTGTGGCATACAAGGTGATGTTGGACTAGTTTTGGCTCACTTTCCTGGTTCTCAAGGACACTTAATTGGCAACCTCATGTGCATCCAAGATTGAGGAGTTGGCTAGAATTTCAGGTTGGTCACACCTTTTACTATTGTTGGGCTCTTCCTTTGAGGCAGATTATTGATCCCAGCATATTTTCCAATATTACCATCCTGTACCAGGAAGTGGTGCTGCAGGGTTTATGCCCATTCAGGCTTTTGCTGAATGAACTGAAGTTCCAGCTGTCTCCCTTGCACTGCATTTAATGGTTGGTGTTTGTTTGAGACACTAGGTGAGTGTTCTTCCTTCCAGAACCTGCTCCATGTCAGTTTGCTTCTTTTAATTAATAAAAGAAGAGACAGTGTCCATTTAGGAGCTTAAGCATCTTCTCGGTTATCTGATCTTCATCTGCATGGTGTACAGTATTATGTAGGCCAAGTTTAGCAAAGTATCTGTATTTTGTTCTGCGATATGTAGCTTGTCACTGGCACTAAAACGTCATCATTGATCCAAAGGTCTCTCCTGCTTTGACATTTTTCTTTTCATGCTTTTCAAGGTTTATCTCAAATTCTTTATTGACACGTCCCTTGTAGGCAGGGATTTTTTATGTTAGGCATAACCCTTTAATATGGCATACCCTTTGTTATGCCAGGCAGTGGCATTGGTCTCTAGCCGTGAGGTGTACCTACATCAATATCAGGGAGATGGAGGCAGTTCAGACAGCCCTTTTGTGCACCTTTTCCACAAGTCTGGGCAAACTGGCTGAACGTTTTGGTCCTTGGTCCCTTCCATTCCCATCCTAAGGTCCCAACTCCTTGAGCACGCATGGGTGACATATGCCTTAGTAGGGGTGCTGGGTCATCTAATTATTTTATGTAAGTAAGATTTCAGACATTAGTAAGATGTGGGTTGAATGTAAATGCATAATGTCGATGGGTCAGATGTTCCTTAAATTTGTTGAATGAAAATGGTGTATATTAGATTTAGAATATTTTATATTCTAATATTTTATATTTAGAAATATTTTATATTCTAAATATTGTTGTTATTCAAACAACAATATTTTAGTTGTTCATTTAGTTTCACTGTTCAGTACTATATACATAAATAAGAGCTGCGTATTTCATTGCCAATATTTATCTTCACATATTGTATTATAAGTCATTTTGGTTCATATTCTCACAAGGATTTTAAAAGCTGTTAGCTTAATTTCTGTGGTGGCCCTCAGTAGCATCCCTGAGCTTAGACACTGGCACCACAGAGCCTTCCATACATGCCCAGGTCCTTCAAGTTGCACAACCACTTGGTCCATCAGCATTTGATCTCTGATGCTCCAAATGGATGGGCACTCGTCTTTCACTCCAGCCTTATATTCCAGCTCCTTGTCCTCATATACCATCCAAGTGCTCTATAGTCATATTGGCTTAAGAGTTTTCTCCTCATAATTACCTTACATTGGACTCACACAGCCTACTGTAACCCAGGACCAGAATCTGGTTTCTTCAAAAGAGGCAAAGCCAGGGATGACGACCCTAGATGAAAACCCAAAGCAATTTAAATTTCAGAATCACAAAATGTGACTGGCATAAACCAAATTGTGAAGCATGAATAAAGATAAAACAGAAAACAGGTGTGTATCCTGTCCCCCTGCACAAGACAGGATGTTACCAACTAGCCCAAAAACCATTTAACCTTTCATAAAAAGCAACGCCTGCATCCAACAGACACCTTTTAAGAAATGAATCAGGCTTAGAAGTGATTCTGTAGCCAGCCGTCAACCCCTCATGACTCCTACACTTTCCTTGCCTCTGTGAGAATGCCAAATTCAGGTCCTGTGGAGGTTAGTAGGTCTGAAGATCATCAGATGCCTGATTGTTGGCAGTAACTAATGAATCAGAGCTATAACTCAAGGAAGCAACTGTGGATTCCAAACGCAATGTGGCCTTTCATTAAATTCAACACTGTTTTTGTGTTTCATATTCTCAAGTCAAATATAAATTTGGGGTTTCCTGAATATTCATCAAGTAACCAATTATAAACTTTTAGGTACAGACTACTTATACACAACTCACGGATGGACAGTTGTGAGTGCTGTGGTGGAAGGCGCGTCCGGAAAGCCATTTACTGAAGTCATAACTCGTCTCTTTTATGACCTGGGTCTTGAAAATACGTATCTTGACAAAAATGCCCCTATTATATATAACAGAGCGAGGTAAGTAAAACTGATCATTCTCCAATCATCACCCATCATAAATAGTAATATCTGGAGTTTGAAAGTTGGGAAGTGGTAGGGCAGAGTTGGAATTCAAAGAAGAATGGATGACACATAAGCTCAAAAACTCTGTTTACAATTATACATGATTATTTTTTCATAAATTTTTATAATACTGTAGTATTTCCTTCGGCTGTATCTTGAGGTTATCTTGAGATGATTTCAGGGCTTAGCGTCCCCGCAGCCCGGTCCTCAACCAGGCTTCCTTTTTTTTTGTTACACACCCCGAGGAAGCAGCCTGTAGGAGTTGTCTAACTTCTAAGTAACTATTTACTGCTAAGTAACAGGAGCATCAGGGTGAAAGAAACTCTGCCCATTTGTTTCTGCCTCCACCTGGGACCCGGAACCTCAGGACTATAAATCCGAAGTGCTGTCCACTCGGCTGTCAGGCCCCCTTATCCTAGATCAAGTTTTCAGCTTTTCAGCTACTGTATTGTATTTTGGGATATGTAGTTAATAATATAAGTTTATGGGAGGCAGATACTTTTCTGGGATGGTGCCTGCCACCTTGAGCTTTCTCTTGGCATTGCTATTGATATTAATCATCAGTCATTATTGTTAAAAAAGTTTAAGTTCTCTATAGTGATATTCCAACTTTTCATAGAACCTACCAAATTCAGCTGCATAACAGGAAATGGTACTGTATCACCACACTACAGGTTACCCTTGATTTATGCATAGTTATGTTTCTGTTAAAAAAACTGTTCAAATCATTCTTAAGGAATAACTATTAGAACAAAATTTAGTAATGTTCCAGTGACCAACTTTTTTTTCTGGGGGGAAGCCCCTTCGGCTTCCCGGAGCTTACTAGGCTGATATGCTAATGTCAGACTTTGGCATCAGTCATGTGTATGGAGTTCTGTGGGCCTACCGGGGACCACGAGCCACAACCTGGCCCCCCTCAGAGAGGCATGGGGAGCAATAGCTTATAGAAACCCCCCGTGTGGTTGGAGGCACACACTATGTCTGCCATCAACCAGGTCAGGCACCCAGAAAGGTAAGCATCCCAAAACAAACCCCTTTTCTGGTGAAAATTTTGCTACCAAAAGCTGAACAAGTGGATGGAACTCCCCTAAACGAAACGAGCAAACGAGCATGACGTCACACATCGCCGCGTCGTTGTCTGCGCAGCTCCCCCCTCTCCGGGAGGGGGAAGGGGAAGCCCCAGACTCCTGCACCAGCTATCCCCCCTTCAGTTCTAAGGCTGATGCTAGATTCAGAGGTCGTGTGCTCTGGCTCCAGTGATTCTGGCGCTGTGCTGTGAGTGTGGTGCTGTCTTCCAGGGGTGCGAGGACCAGGAGTTATTCTACAGTACTCGGGATGCATGCACCTTGGGTTATCGTCCCTAGGCACAAACAGTCCTGATTTTGGTTTCTTTTCAGACTTTCCAGCACTTTTTTCTTGTAGTCTTTTTCCTGGATCACACATACCATGGCATTTTGTACTAGATTTAGCTCTCCCATTTGCTGTGCACAATGGTTGAGTTCAGACAGCCTCAGGCTTCATCATATGTACATTATTTGCACTAGTTCACCTCCCTTGAGGCACTCTTTTCTTTCATGTCCTGTTCTGACATTCGACATTGGAAGTTTTGTAAATTGACCTGTACATTTGTGACCCAAAATGCCCTTCTGATGATTTTCTGCCTGTTAACAGTGTGTTACCATTGAGTGGCTCTTTTTCTTGATGACCATCTCTTTGAGCAGGGATTTGAATGTGTAACTGTATGAGCTTCCAATCAAGAATCTAGACACCAAATTGTGTCAGCATCTGAGCAGGGATCTGGGAGTCTAGCTGTGTACGTTTCTTGAGATTTCCTTCAGGGATTTCAGGGACTTCCTTTCCCTGCATCTCTGTTTGATACCACTCTACAGCTCAAGGTGAGATAAGCCCCCATATCTTGTAGTTTTAGTCTTGTGGATTTACTCCCTAAGGAAAGAATATAAAGAGGTACGATTCAGAAAACATGATTTGAGTGTACTGCAAATTAAAATCTACTTTTTGAGCAAGACACTTAATTGCTTTCATTGCCTTCCTTCTGTATATACTTCTCTTGTGCTTTATAAGCACCTCATATCAGACACAATATTAGCTGGGCAGAGTTATGGCACTGTGTGTAGGTGCTTCTGCCTGGGCGCTGATGGCTGAGCAGACAGAACACTGGACGCGTGATCTTGTGGTCCCGGGTTCAATCCCGGGCGCCGGCGAGAAACTATGGGCAGAGTTTCTTTCACCCTGATGCCCCTGTTACCTAGCAGTAAATAAGTACCTTGTAGTTAGTCAGCTGTCACGGGCTGCTTCCTGGGGGTGGAGGCCTGGTCAAGGACCAGGTCGCGGGAACACTAAGCCCCAAAATCATCTCAAGATAACCTCAAGATAACAAGATGCCCAGTTGCTAGCAAAGGGCTGGGCTGGTCAGGTATTGTAGCAATAAAGAAAAGTTTTCCTTGGTGGTCCCTTCTAGATATCGTTATTCTAGGTTGGACTGAGATTTCTTAATTGGTTTCATTTGCACCAGTTCAACCCAACAGGGTTACCCTGAGGTCATTCAGTACAGAATATATACCTTTCTTAAGTGTGCATTGTCCTCCCTTAAGGGATCAACCGAGTGTCTTGTTCGGAAAATAATTTTTAATTTACTCAAATCCTGAATTTATATTTTATTTGTTGTTTAGACATAAGTTATTTTTTAGCTAGATTGATTTTACACGATCTCTTTTCAGATCACTGTTATACTGATATGGTGTACTTTTCACAATTTTTTTTCCACTTTTATTCTTTCTAGATACTATATTCGTGACAAAGATGGCAAGCTAAAGAATGCCCCATATATAGATAACTCCTATAAATGGGCTGGTGGTGGCTTCCTCTCTACAGTTCATGACCTCTGCAAGTTTGGAAATGTGATGCTGTATTCAAGTCAACAGGAAAGTGAAAATGACAATGAAGGTATGCACTTAACACAGATGCTTGCCATTAACAGTTCAGCGAGATCTCTTGCCTCATCTACTGTTTAATTTGCCTGCACTCTAGCACATTTCTCTCTTGTGCTATAGGAATTAGACAATTTGCCTGCATAAGATAATGAAAAAACGTTTAAAAAGAAAGCCTTGGGTGTTGGAGATTTGCAGGATTGATACAGTACAGTACATGGATGTAGTTCCTATGCTAAAAATATAAAAAAGAAGATTAATATAGATATTATTATTGTTGGTAATGTAAATAAATCCATTATCTTTGCTAATGTAAATGATGTAGATAAAGCTACGAGTTAATCATTAATTCAGAAGTATTAAACAGGTATTGAATATTCAAGAGCAAGGGAGGATCTGAAAAATATATGGCATTCACCCTTAGAAATGGAATTGAAAATGCATGGCAGACTAGTCAAATATTGGAAGACTACTGCAATATTTTTCATTGACAATTGATAACACTTCTATGGACATAATTAAATATATGCAAGGGATGGGATGCATTTATCTGCAGCAGGGATTGTATCTTTTGCCTCTTCATTAGCTGCTGTTGGTAGGGCTTGTTAGGATTTGAACTGTTAGAAGATAGAGGTTTGGGCATGTATGTGTAGAAAGACGGTAATGAAAGTGCATGTTGGCAGGGAATCTGTTTTTGTGAAAACAGTATGATAAAATTATTGGTAAAGTGAGTGAACAATTTTGGGCCCAATATAAGAAAACTTAAGTTTTGTGAAGAATTCTGAAGGTGATAATGATAACAAAATGGAACACATGCATGAATATAGCAACAGAATAAAGATATTGTTCAACATTGTTTCATGTTGCCAATGAAAACCATTTATAGAATCCCCAGAGTGATAGAACCATCAGAGGTGATAGAACTAGTGCACATTCAAAAATATAATTTATTATCCAGGATTGGGTTCATGATTGCAAGCAATTACCGGGGCTGGAAATTAAAATAACTAAATATTTTAATACTATATGCAGTTGCTTATCTGAATTTCGCTAAACCAAATATTTGGGCTATCCATCCAAAATCACATCTGGATAATTTTCTGCCAAACTTCTCCATATCCTGACAAAAATCCAGATAACCAGAGATTTGGCTGGATAGCGCAGATTGGCACAGAGTCCAAGTCAAGTCCGGATAATTCTGGCAAAACTTTGCCATATCCAAACAGAAATCTGGATAACTGGAGGTTAGGTTACATAAATTTTCAAGAAGTACAGTACACATTTCAAAATCTATGGTATCAAACAAGAAGACAAACTACAACAAGGTAAGCTGAAGTGTCTCTTTTTAAATTTTATTTTTGAGTTATAGTGTGTGTAGAAATTCAAATTATGTTCATTGTGGTACAGGTACAAAAAATTGCAAATACAGTCATTTTTGGAATTCCCCCTGGAAGAATTCTGCTTATCCGGTGAGGGGTCCTTCCCATATAGTCTGGATAAGTGAGCTAAGACAACATAATTAGCTAAACTAGAAATTCCTTCGCTCCCAATCTTTCTCGTTCTGAATTTCTTGGTTACATTATCTTCAACTACCCTTGTGAGAGTGAGGGAGAGGAATTGACTGGTGGCTACGTTTCCCTCGAGCCATACTACAGAATGGACATGGACTCTAGAGAAAGCACAGAGAAGGTAAAGTAAGGAAATTATCAGGAGAAAGCACTAAGCCATTATTACTTTGTAGCACTTGGAAAGGATATGGTGATAAGGATATAGGATAGGACAGAAGGGAAGAATGATTGGGGATTGAACACTGTCTTGCAAGAAGCAAGGCTGTTGCCGTACTGTCCAGTCCAAGTGGTTGGGCAAAGGACAGAAAGAAAACAAGGTTGATACTTAGTATTGGGACCTTTCCTGTAAAGATAGATTGGTGTCTCAATCTGCACTCACTAGAGATGCAAGACAAGGGAGGATATGAGCGAGGTTAGGGACAAAAACAAGGGATATATAATAGGGTTCTAAAACTGTCAGAACATGTTGGAAGTTGCAACAATGGGTAAAAACTGGGGAAGTTTTGTTTTAGGAGAGATATGAGGAAGTACATGGTTGGAAACAGGGTTTGGATGAGTGGGATTAGCTACTAGCTAGCACTGTTGAAACCAACAAGTTAACAGGTTTCAGGAATTGATTGGAAAGTTACAAAGGTGAGCGGGGTGTTGGGTTTAAATGGAACCAGCCTGGTATGAGCCAAAAGGCCTATTGTGGTGCTTCCTAATTGTTAAGTTCTTAAAATGTAAAATTATAATAAAATAAATTAATTAACACATTAAATGAAACGAATGTCACTAATTCTTTACTATTACTTGAATGATTCCTAGTCTTTGTCTTATGCTCTGCATTGATATGTCCTTCAAACTGATATTTTCATATGTAATATTTAAATTTACATTTTGGCATTGCCTGTATACAAATTATTCCACTTTTCATATTTAAATTTGTTCATCAGGGACCCATGTGCTGCCAGGCTTCTTAAAAGCATCTACAATGCAAGCATTGTGGACTCCAGTGGATGGCACCAATGTGAAGTGGGTCCACGATCAAGGATATGGAATGGGTTGGGAGGCCATGAAAGAAAATCATTCATATGGATTTTGTAGAAACTCCCGGCATTTTGCTTTGCATTCAGGAGCAGCAGTAGGAGCTAGCAGTGTCCTCCTTGTTCTTCCTAAGCAAGGTTATTGCTGCAAAGAGAATGGTGCTCCTCCCAAAGGAGTAGTTGTATCAATAATTACCAATATGCAGAGTGTTAACCTCAAAAAAGTGGCATTGCAGATTGCTCACTATTTTGAGAATCTGCAATAAAATATTTAAAATATGAGACACACAAACATTGACTTTTTGTAGCTTAATATTTTCACAGGAAAGTAAACCGTGCTAATTAAAATACTGTACTATACATGTTGCAAGGTGCAACAAGTTTGTTTAAATGTGCTTTTATTGGGTTTAATTTTAAAATAAAAGTATAAGGACGTCAAAGGATAGCTATTAATGCTTTGAACTCAGTTTGTAAGGTAAGAATTTGATCCCTTGGTAAGATTGGGTTGGAATGATAGGTGTGCTAGGAGGCAGTTGCAGTACTGTACTTATGTCAGGGTTATAGAAAAAATAACCCTTCTTGCCTTTTGGCTTTCATCCTGCAAGGCTGTGGAGAACTCTGCAAGTTTATATTTTTTTAAGTTTTTCATTGTTAGTAAAAACCTGGATTTTTTTAAAAATCCAACCTGCCCAAATTTGGTTTTTATCTATTTAATTAACAGATAAATAAATTTCTAGTTTAATTTTGAATAGAAATAACTGTTGGCCCCACATTAAAGTAAACAAAGTTTGTTTTAACCCACCCGTATTTTTTAAACTAAAAAACTCGGTCCAGGCAGGTAAGTGGATTAGTAAATTTTAGTTTAACTTTTCCAACTGCAGTGTTGCCAGTTGTGACTCAAATTAATATACAGATAGAAAAGATCATCCCAGCAAATGGGGGACCTTTGACAAACCGCCAGCTTCCTGTCCTCGTCAAGGCCACTAGTATTACTTTTTTCTATTATCTTTCCACTGTAACCTTTCCATTCTCACTCACAGAATGGGTTGCACAATAAATTAACTAAGCTAAAAAAAAATTAAACAATGGAAAAACAAAAATTCCGGGCAAAATATATTTAGACAAAGATTTCAAAACAATACATGTTCTAATGCCTCTTCTATGTTAGGCACCCTTTAAGTGTGAAATGTAGTTTCTGGATAGCAATGGCTATTTGTACAATTGTCCACTTATAGTATATTTATATGTAAGCACTGTACTGTGCAGTAATGAAATTGATCTGCTGAGTGTATAGATTCACAGCATTTGCAAATACTTCCAGTCCATTGTAAACTTGCTCTTGCTGTGGTCTTAATCCATACAAAAATAATTTGGTGTTGCTCATTGAACTGCTTCTTCGGCCACTTTGACACAGCACACGTTCATAAAAAAAACATTTTATGAAAAACACACATTACATAAAAACTTTACTGAACTGGCATATTCAAATCACCAACTGTAGTCACTTCATGTTTGCTGCACACTTCTACTATTCCATCATATATTTTAACTGTCAATTTTGAGAATTGACTCAGAAGGTAGGATATAAATTATACTTAATTCTTTTATGTGTATTTGTTCAAATTCTATAAAATGGATTCAATATTTTAAATAATTGTGTAGCTTTTACCGGCTGCTTTTAATTGGTGGGCTTCCCCTAAGCAGTACAAATACCCTGTACTTTAAATATAAATATACATAAATGTCTTAAGCCCTTACATTGCTCCAATTACTGGAGAACAATTGACCCCATATGCTTCAATTGCCCAGAGATGATTTAAGGTGGCCCATTTTAATCTTAATCCCCCACATATTCTAGGGGATGGCATTTGACACTATTTATCTGTACATACATATACAGTATTTCCAATACTGAATACTGAATAATATATACTGAATACCACTACTGTACTGACACATCAATACAACATGTGAGCATGAAAACATTTAATAAATAAAGTGAGAAACGGAGAAAATAAATGGACCAGGTTATTCCCGTGTGGTGCCTCACCTCATTACAGTTCTACAGAAAAAATTAAACATCTTCGGGCACTACAGTTAAACCATAATAGGAAGAGACTTTACTTGGATTTTCGTGCTTCTTGTATGTAAATTAACAGTATCAAAAGCAAATAAAAATCTGAATTTTTTCTTGTGCATGACAGACTGCATTAAAATGGCCTGCACAGTGTAAGGGTTAAAATAAACTGAAGTGTTATCTTACAAATTAGTTGTTTTAAAAAAATCCAGGCAAATTTTGTGAGAATCCAGATTAGCACCAGCATTGAGAGCCTCCCATATCTCTGCTACACACCTACCAAGAACCAATTACACCTAGCCTGAAAGTCATCAACATCCTCACACTTCATCACCCAACCACTTAGGCTGGAGGGTAGAGTGACAGTCTCGCTTCATGCAGGTCGGCATTCAATCCCCAACTGTTGAAGTGGATGGGCACCATTCCTTTTCCTCCATCCCGTCCCCAATCCTTATTCTGACCACCTTCCCAGTGCTATATAGTCGAAATGGCTTGGCACTTTCTCCTGATAGTTCCATTCCCTCACATTATATATAAATACTGGATTGCATTATGCAAACACTCAAATGTTTGGCTGCAGTCACCAACTGCCAACACTTGACTACGATCTCTGTGTCACCTAACCTCTCCGCCCAGAGCGTCTGTCTGGCTTCGGTCATATACTCCTTTCTATTCACAGAAAACTTACCTTTTTGTTTGGGTATCACTAAAGACCCTAAACAGTTGGGCACTAGTGTGATATCAGCATTGGTTGCTGTATACATATGTAAGTTACAACTACAGTACAGTACTGAACTGTAATACAATATTTACTAAAAATGTGCATGGTGTTTGCCAAATTTTGGTATAATTATGTGGGTTGTGTTGCAAACACTATGAATTGTGTATCAGATGTTAGATCATGTGACGTTAAAAATGTAATTATAAATGCATTTTCATAATCAATCATAAATTGCCTTGAAATAAATTTCAAGGCAATTTATGATTGTATTTAAAATTTTAAATGTTAAAAATATTACAATAAAATAATTTTACAATATAGTTGTTTCATTTAAAAGTTGATACATTATAAATCTAAAAGATCTTCCAACTACCAGATGGTAATTTAGAGCTCCTGAAATGAGTGCTCTTCGTATGAATTTAAAGGCGGTCGTCTGTTATTTAAAAGATTTGAAGTCTGAAGATTTATCAGCTATATTGCTTCTTTATTTGTTTTCTTATTATTCCGGTATTTTGGAATGAAGTGTTAAAAACTATTGATGTTAATCTAGACGTCTTTTGAAAAAAGTAATGTTGCAGTCACTGCTAGCTGTGAGATCTCATTTATCATCTGAGGATGTAATACATCTACAAGTATTACAGAATTTAATCCTACAAGTATACCTTACACTTGTTAGGATTGAATTCTAGTAACCATCTGTTTTCCCACTCGATCCTGGAGTTTGTCAACATCATCCTGTAACTTTCTGCAGTCCTATTGCAGGTGTTAAATAAGCTTAGAGTTTCTCTTAGTCTCGTTTGCCCGCCATGTCAACACCCTTAGTGAACAGCGCCTGTGTTTAATAAGGTTTCTGTCTCTTGTTGCGTGATTGGTGCGTCTCTGGGGCTTCTGTCCCTATCTCAGCATACCAAGTGTGCGCCTGAGTCACGGTGGCTGAACCTGAGAGGGGAGAGCAAGTAGGGAGGGAGGGACTGAAGGTGATGATGGGGGGAAGGGAAGGATGGGGAGGATCAGAAGGGTAGGGTGGAGGGGTGGGAATACAGGGCAACAAGAATAGGGATGTGGGATGAATGGAGGATGGGAGGGAAGTTGGGATGGAGAGCGATGAAAGGAGGAACATAAGATGGGAGGGAGGGAAGGAAGTTAGAAGGTAGGGACTTGGGACGAGTATCAAGGATCGTAGAAGTTTAAATGGTGTGATACAAAATACTATAATGGTGTGTGTGCTCGTGTGGTGTGCATGTCTTTGTCTTACAAATAAGCTAATAGTTTTGTCTTTTATTTCAAGGCAAATTATGTCAAAACTGCACGTCTTATTTAACTAAAACTAAACAAATTTCATGAAATTTTGCGTGATTTTTACATTGTAAATTTGGATTAGGTGAGAGATTATAAGTATTACGAATAAGTCTGTCATGTGTAAGCGCGTCATTGGAAAACTACACGAGGCTGGGCCGCTGACCAGTGCTTTCGTATCAACCAATCAGAGCCGCTCTTACTGAATGGGTGTGGCAGCCAACCAATCAGAGTGTGTGTATGTCGCGTAAGCTAGAAACGTCTCAGCTGTTAAGTCAAGTTGCCAGCATCACATAATTATTTACTTAAGACATCAAATGCATTCACCACAATAAAACACAGTATATCCATACACCATACTACACTGAAGTGCAGTTTCCCACTACACACTATGGCTAATAGAACTACGTTAAATATGTGAAGAATTTCCTATAGAGTTTCCGCGAGGTTGCTGCTCGTATATAAGACGGGACGAGGCGCGGCGCTGAGCCATTGCTCGTGGGGACTCCTTGACGTCCTTGTAGGGTGTATAGCTCCTCTCTTGCTTGCAACTCGATTCAACAAAATGGTAAGTTGTTTAACATTCACGATATGTTTGTGCATTGCCCTTCGCAAGAGTGAGTGATATATCTTACATTTACTAATATATGCAATTAGGAGACTGAAACATGGTTGTCCTCGCGGTGCATCGTGCATGATGGCCCTCGCGATGCATCGTGCATGATGGCCCTCGCGATGCATCGTGCATGATGGCCCTCGCGATGCATCGTGCATGATGGCCCTCGCGATGCATCGTGCATGATGGCCCTCGCGATGCATCGTGCATGATGGCCCTCGCGGTGCATCATGCATGATGGCCCTCGCGGTGCATCGTGCATGATGGCCCTCGCGGTGGGGTGGGATGTGCTGTTGAATGAGATGGGATATGGTGTCGGGGTGGGTGTGATGTTATGTGTTGTGCTGTAGAGTGGGAGGTGATGTGATGTTGGGGTGAACTCCTTAAAGCAATCAAGTGTTTATTGTTCAGACTCGTTAAGAAAACTGAATGTGTGTATGGCTTATTTGCGTACTTCTCACTAGTGTCCCCTTGTTGGTGTACCACCCTGGCTGAATTATCTTTCCCTCGTGGAACCTATTCCCTCGGGTCTTTGTGTGTGAGATATGGTTTTAGTTTGTGAAGAGATATGGTGTGCAATACGTGGTTTGTACAGGAAGTACCAAACCGTACATTGGAGATAGTTTGTGTTGATTGATGATGATTGATGAAGATTAAGCCACCCAAAAGGTGGCACGGGCATGAATAGCCCATAAGGGGTGACTCTTTGAGCCATTACCAGTATCATTAGCTGATACTGGAGATCTGTGGAGGTGCGACTGCACTCTGCGTGACGGGAGATGTCTCCCGTGAGCTAGGAGTTTGTGTTCACAGGATCTTCTTTCTTTCCTGTGACAAGGAGGTAGGCTACTTGCACGAATACAGAAGGTGTCATACCTTGCGCAGGGGTACGGGAAGGGGCGTACGTGCTGGTGTTATTTAATACGTGCCTGATGTTTGTGCTAACGTGCGTGGTATGTGGCCAGAACACTTGAGATCTCAAGTGTGGACCTCATCACCACCTGAAGGTGAATGAGTACTATTGTGGCCCCAGGTGATGGTCCAAGATGCTCATTAAGTTGGGAAGGGTGCGGAGGGGAGGAAGAATGAGGTCACTAATGTATATATTTATAAAGTAGTTAGTCCTGCAGCCTGAGTCAGATGTCTGTCTTCGCCGTTCCGTCGCCTAGCTCTTCACGTCGGCCTGACGGAGCCACCCACACTCTGACTCGGTGTACTAATGCCCTCCATGTCACTCCTTCTGTGTTACTACTGGGACACGAGTAACTCATGCGGTCCTATAGCAAAAGCAAGGTCTTTCAAACAGTTTCCTGGCAAACTCCTCTACGCTTTTCAAGGAAAACCTACGATTTTAGTTCCATCATACGTATTATTATGTTGATGGAGGCGAGGGCACTCCAGTGAAGGACACTCTAGGACAACGTCAGGAAACTGGCGGAAAATTGTGTGATTTCGAGGCGTGTATTGAAGAGTGTTCCCGGGCAGTCATGCAGCCTGTCGCCAAGATTAGTTTTGGCTGTAAATGTAACAGATGATTTACAAGGCGGTAAATCGTGGCCATACAGGAGCTTCTTCATCTCCCGAAGCCTATAAAATACGCCTGTAACAACAACAAGTATTTAATAATAATGTTAATTTGCAAGACATTTACCTTGGTGCATGCAAACATGCAACCAAGTGAATATAAGTATACTGACATTGACATGACACACACACACACACACACACATACACACACACACACATACACACACACATACACACACACACACATGTGAGCACTCAGCCCGTCTTCAGCCCACACAACCGTCACTAAACTACTGTTGGCTTCTCTGTTGATTTTCTTTTGTTTCCAACTTCTTTAGTTGCTAATAAGAGTCTTCCTTTTTTATACATGCTTTTTCTCCTGTTACTCTTCTTCCTTTATATATTCATCTAAAATTTAGCAATATGATTGTACTTTTTTTTCAAATGGCCTTTGTTTCGTCCAGATCTTGTCATGAGGAGGTGGAGGGCCAGAGAGTGAGGAAGCGGGGTAACCAACTCCTACACTGTTTATCACAAAGATTATATTTAACCCCACATGCGCTTCCCCTGCCCTCACTTCACACACACTCACTCTCTCACTTTCACTCACTCTCATTCACTCATTCATTCACTCACTCACTCACTCACTCACTCACTCACTCACTCACTCACTCTCTCTCTCTCTCTCTCTCTCTCTCTCTCTCTCTCTCTCTCTCTCTCTCTCTCTCTCTCTCTCTCTCTCTCTCTCTCTCTCTCTCTCTCTCTCTCACACACACACATACACACAGCGCGAAAGAGCAAAGCTCAACCCCCGGAAGCACAACTAAGTGAATACAACTAGGTGAACACACACACACACACACACACACACACACACACACACACACACACACACACACACACACACACACACACACACACACACACACACACATACACACACACACACATACACACACACCACAAAACTAGTGTCAATCAAAGTAAAGTATTTTCTTGCAAAGTACTAGAAAGAATTCTCAGGAGAGTAGAGAATAGTGCAGATTACCTGTTTCCAAACTTATATGTTTTATTCCCCCTTTTACAACCACGTTCTCACCTGTGGACCCCTATAACAAAATATTTATTTATTTATTTATTTTTATTTATTTATTTATATACAAGAAGGCACATTGGGTTTGTGAGAATACATAGCATAGTATTTACAATTTTGTAAAGCTGCTAGTACGCGCAGCGTTTCGGGCATAGATGGAGCGAACCTGGGGGCCGGACGGCTGAGTAGACAGCGCACAGGGTTCATAGTCCTAAGGGTCCGGGATCGATCTCCGGCGGAGGCGGAAACAAATGGGCAGAGTTTCTTTCACCCTGATGTCCCTGTTACCTAGCAGTAAATAGGTGCCTGGGAGTTAAGACAGCTGCTACGGACTGCTTCCTGTGTGTGTGTGTGTGTGTGTGTGTGTGTGTGTGTGTGTGTGTGTGTGTGTGTGTGTGTGTGTGTGTGTATATGTGTACTCAGCTAGTTGTGCTTGCGGGGGTTGAGCTCTGGCTCTTTGGTCCAGCCTCTCAACTGTGTGTGTGTGTGTGTGCCGAGCTCTGTCCACACAGCCGGCGGTAACATTGAGTACTGTGTAACATTCTCGGGGTAACCAATAAGGCTAATAAAGAGGACATGTTCAGTGTAAAGCAGATTAATACAAGGAGTAAGTATATGGATATAAACCTGAGGCGCAGAAAGTAGTTATCACAAAAAGACGCCAAACCTGGAAGACTTTACCACCGTAAGGGTCACAAAATAAAGAACATCTCTAGATATCACTAAGGATATAAATACTAGAACAAAAACAAACCATAAGACGAACAAAGGTATCAAGGCAACCGAGAATTTAATCGAGGGACTTACGGCTCTTTACGGCTCTAAGGAATATTGGTAATGCAAACTTTCCGGTCATCACACACAGAGATCACAATAACGTGATGCATCAAATGAACAAATCCACAAGGGCCGTGACGAGGATGGGATGCTCCCGGACGCAGGTTCGAATCCTCGTCACGGCCCTTGTGGATTTGTTCATTTTCCGGTCATCTTGAGACATTCTAGGAGAAGGTGCGCGACTCTCAGCGGGACAATGCCACTCTCAGTAAGATGCAGGTCTCTCTTACATTAAGTGCCTGTCACTTAACACGAGGCGCAGATGATTCACGGGGATGTTAGAAAGAACATTTTGAATGAAAGACTGCTACGAGCTGAAACAGACTAGAGGGCGAGATAGTGGGATATAATTCAATGAGTAGTTTCAAGGCGAGGCTCAGGAGTTTGCCCTCGACCCTGCAACTACATTTAGGTGAGTACATGTATATACACAGACGCGTATACACACACCGGAAACACTGAGGCCACAGTCGCCAATGACGATGGCATTACTAAACCAACAATGGTCCGGTGATGGTGATGGTCTTGGGAGGTGGAGAGCGGCCCACCATGGCACTTACAGGTCAATTCCGTGGTTGTGGCGGCGCAGGTTGTAACTGTTTCAGGAGTGTCTTGACGGTTGTGGGTGGTTGTTGGTTTATGGGCGGAAGCTGTCTTGCGGGTGGTAGTTGTTCGTGGGTGGTAGTAGCGTGGTTGTGGACACGTTGCTGTATTGCGGTCAATCGTGATTGCAGGCGGTCAAGGTAATTTTGCGTGGCTTTGCGGTATTATGAGCGATCGGTTATTTATTGGAGGATGTCTGGTGTGTGGGGGACACACTTGGGGCTCCCGGCGTGTGTTGATCTAATTAAGGACACTAGTCCCATCCCGTAAGCAAGTGACCCAAAGGATACACTCACATAATGAGTTCAGGTACTGGGATTCGATGCCCAGGTGGAGCAAAAATAATTGGGCAAGTTTCATTTCACCTAATGCCTCTATTCTCCTAGCAGTAAACAGGTACCCGGGAGTTTGGCAACAAACTTGTGAGTCCAACAATGTAAGGAGTCACGTTCTGCACATAGAGTTTGTGAGCACTCGAGGGACGGGACGAGACGGGGAGGTGGGTTATTTCGACGGGGGACGGGTTATTTTGAGACTTTCATTCCACTAGCTCACACCCTCTTTCCGCGGGGTCTGTACTTCTCTACGACCATCTGTGGCGGGTCACATCCATCTGTGCTTACCTAAGGGTAAGCATAGAAGTGTGTAGACCTATGACTTACTTCTTCTATGACTTACTACACACACTTCTTCACCATAGAAGTGTGTAGACCTATGACTTACTTCTTCTATGACTTACTACACACACTTCTTCACCATAGAAGTGTGTAGACCTATGACTTACTTCTTCTATGACTTACTGCACACACTTCTTCACCATAGAAGTGTGTAGACCTATGACTTACTTCTTCTATGACTTACTGCACACACTTCTTCACCATAGAAGTGTGTA